ATATACGGAGAATGAGACTACTAGCGTAGACAAGAGAGAGTGGAATGCCGATTTCTGGTCTACTAGCCGTCGTCAGTCAACCGTGACCAACGCCCGGTCTGCAAACCTTCTGCCAGTAGCCTCACTCTGTACATATGAATAGCTTCCTTGCGACTTTCTTCCGGGGCTTTAGGTCGAGTCGCAATGCACAACGGTACGAGTAGGTCCCGCAGCGCGACCAACGAGGCCATTGTAAATTTACCTGGGAAAAAACCCGCATCGTCGGCTTATATCCTGCCAAGAGAAGCCAAGAGTTTCCCGAAGCCGTGCACTCAGATGAGTCATGCATCGATCGGTACGTTGTGTTAGATGTCATGTGCAAAACCATTAAAGAAAAAATGGAAGATGGGAGAACCATTCGATACAGAATGACCCACACGGGGTCGCTTATCAGCGTAAACACTAAAAAGTATTGATTGTTTAAGCAGGTTTGAAATGTTAGCTGCTATTAGCACATTTACCCAACGTCTGACAACGACATCGGGGACCAGCGTCAAAAATCTGCCAATAAAGTTTCCTGTTTTTCTCAAAGAACGTATTCTATTACAACTTGTACTCCTTGGGATGTCTGCCTTTTAGTCCATAGATATATATATATGGAAATAAGGTGGTATCGACAAAGGCAGTGGAGACCGTAGCGGCCATTTCTGGCTTATTAGGCGCCATGATGTAGTTATACTAAACCCAAAGTGTGGACCACCCTAGATTCAAACCCGGGATCATTGGTCATTGTGTGTGATGCTTTACCATTGAGTCATGGGTCCGTTGCCCTGTGGGTTGCGATTGCGGACATAAATTATGGTAGATGGGCGTTCACTGATCGGGTTACGGAACGTGCGCATCACGTTGTGCCTTGGGCTCAAACTCTAACCCTCGCAGGCAGTCGCACAACTGCAACCTTGGACTGCCTCACACGATGAGCAAAGCTCCCGAGTTCGAATCACAGGCGAAGCACACTTGAAAATGTGCATGACTGGCTGGTAACGGACAATAAGCCAAGAAATGGCCATTCCGGTCTCCCTTGTCTTTGTCAACATCATGTCATTTACGCATACTACTAGTCGCTGCGCGACTGCCTGCGAGGATTCTAATATGAGCCCAAAGGTACAACGGAACGAGCACGTTCCGTAACCTGATCGCTGAGCGTCAATCTGTCGAAATCGCTATTTCCAATCACAACCGACAGGACATCGGACCCGTGGCTCAATGGGAGAGTGTTAAACTCAATGACCAAAGACCCTGGGTTCGACTCCCAAGTGATCCACACTTGGGGTTGCGTATAACTTGCTGATGACGATAATTGCCCAGAAATGGCCATTCCGGCCTCCCTTACCTTTATCGGCATCATGTCGTATATATACATATATAACTGCGACGAGGAGGGACGACAGAGAATGCTGACGTGAATTTCTATCAAACGAGCGAAATAAAGAATATTTTTCTTCACATTTTTCATAAAATTTATTTGAATTTGCATGACTACCGAAAATCAGTGTGAAAAATGCATGCTACTTAAGTAGTCTGCATTTTACCAAGTACGGTTTCTACAGGAGACTGAAAAGAAATGCATTCAATAGCCGGTACCCTGCCTAATCCGGAATACTATAGGATTATACCGCAGGATAATCAATATTACACCCTCCCAAGGTAATCCTTCCTAATCGAAGATGCCTTCCAGAATTTTGTCCAACATTTTCTGAGATCGGTCACTCACTGTATGTGCCCAGTAATGCCCGCAGTAATCGTCAATATAGCACCGATTCGACAAGAGGATTCGCAAGAGGATTTGGGGAAGACTTTTACAAAATCCTCTGTTGTTTCCATACGGTGATCTTGTCCAGATTTCATGAGTTTCCACTGTAACTATTCATTTCATCAAAAAAATCCGATCCATTCCGTGTCAGATTTCACCAGTTTATCATTTTTTGACTTTTGCATGAGCGACTTGTTATGTCCTTTAAAAAGTCTTCAACATCCAAGAATTATCGATTTATCATCGTGTTAACTCTGCCAATAAATATTCTGGTGTATTTGTTTTATGCGCGTTGTAACGCCAAACCCTGGGTAAACCACCTATTGGAACTGGCCGTTAGTATAGGAGAAAAATATGCTTATGCAAATAGCTATGAGAACCTAAAAACTCTTTATTTGCTCCCAGTTTTGTGAGCACCGTTTGAAAAAATTTCAGATGTTGGCCTTTGAAATGACTTCCTTCCGGCTGCCTGCAAAAGCTGAAATCTGAGAAGAATTACTACTTAAGTAGCATGAATTTGTCCTATTGAGCTTCGACGAATATATTTTATAAAAATCGCCCATACAAAATATTCTTTTCTGTACTCCACTGGTAGCAAATAACGTCTTCTCCGACATTCTCAAAACTCGCCAACTGAACTTATTAGGGCTCAGTCATTTAACTTGGACAGAATGAAGGACAGGTAGTGAACTAATCGAAGCCTAGACTTTGGACAAGGACTCGGCTAAAGTATGCAGGTTTCGCCTCACGTGGACTGTTCTGAGTAGACGGCCGCGGACTTACAGCGTTTGCTGATAAGGGTTACGCCTCTTGTCACCATTTTCTCCCCTCTGCTAACTGACTTCTGTACAAAACCGAAAGCTCTGACGAATCAACTGATAGTTTGGGCGTTGCACCATACTTCCTGTTTACCTGGTGAACAAACTGGAACTCGATTGTCCGACTCTGCTCGCGGCAGCGTTTTCGACTAATTTTGGTATAAACTAATTCGGGTTGCAATAGAAACATCGAATCGTTTATTTTAACATGTACTTTTTACAAACGGACTCTATTGCAGCGGGGTTCATACTGTTCCACTGACGTTTTTGTGGTAAGGTACACTGACGGGTGGGTTTGTGACGGAAACACCATCTCCGATTCACAGCTAAAGAGAACTCACGGTCCCAAAAAGGATAGATTCTCTGCTAAGTGGTTGAGAAAAAGGAGCTTGGATCGCTCGTGGGATATTTCTATTTTTCTGACAGTTCTGATTCTTCCTAGCCCATCATCGAAAACAGCACAAATTGGGGTACCGAACGCACAGGGTGTACTATTTATAGGATCCAATTGTTGTGTAAGCGCACAGCCAAGATAGGCAGCAGAGAATGTGCGCAGAGGGTATTATGACAGTTTGGTTGCTCGCGTTTGAATGGTTGATGACCGCGATTTTATTGTCGGAGGTGCTAATTTTAGAGAGCTTGTAATTGCGTAATAACCGCATTCCACAGCATTATGCCACCTAGGCGCACCCTGCCCTCACCTCTTGCTGTCTTGCTGTAGGGTTCAGGCGTGAGTTTGGACAAGAAAATTCCCGTTCCGGCGACCGAGTCTCCTGTATCTAAGGCTTTTATTCCCTTCAAACGATGTGAATTCATAATTTTGTCGAGAGTGTATTGCCCAAATTAACCCTTTCCTGTATACAAGAGCAAGCTGTTTGGATTTTTTGTCAACTTATCGTATGAAAGGATGCCATTTGATACGAACTAAATATTTCATAGCCACATACTTTACCTCGTTTCTGGAATTATGAAGTCCCCCATTTAGGCCCCAGAAAGTTGCTTAATGATTGTATTTCAGCTGGCCAACGGAGAAGCAAATGTCTTTGCTTATATCTTTACAGATTCCCTTTGCTAATAAACAAACGCGGAGACCAACAGGGATCGTTCTGTTGCCTCCCTTTTGGGGCAGTTTCTGTTATCAAGTTTTTAAACTACGTTTAATGGTATCTACCCACTCTATATTATCGAGAGCGTCAGGAAAACTCCCCACCTAAATTCCTCAACAGGTTGAGGCCCATGAAGAAGACGTGCGATTCCTTATACACCTCAGTCCGACCGCCATGACCAACGATACCCACTGTGTTTCACAGCGGGGTGGAAGCAGGGGCGGTGACTCATGCGTATAAAGTGATAGTAGACTTTCGCATCCTCTCCTTCCACACTTGGATCCGGTGTCAAGACAGAGTCAAGAAGGCAGGTGGCGAGAGAGGGAGAGAGAGAGAGCACAGGTGGATGGCGTGGCGAAAACCCGCATCTAGGCGTACCACTACATTCCCTGGTCCACAATGTACACTGATCAGGATTTTAAGCAAGAAAAGAAAAGGGGCGCAGATCGGATATCATTGAGTGGAATCGCCATAGAGTTCACATTGAGAGGGGACCGATGCAGTCTGATTCTCGTTTCACCAGTCGGACACTGCGTCCAAAGACACACACTAGGCGACGGTTCCGGATGAATGGTGGAGCCGTGAATGTTCATAGGTATGCGGTAGCATGGCGACTGCACCCTATAAATACTGCAGCCCCTTGTGTATGAACCACCCGTATCTGCTGTTGTCTCTGATGGTGGGTCCGAGCAGGAATCCGAAACGTAGGGCTAATAAAGCTCTTGTCCCAGCGATCGTGCCTCCTTCTTCACAACACACTAGGCTGCCTGCGTCGCCCGAGTAATTCCCTCATTTGGGCAACCTTTCAAGCCACGACTTTTAGCGCACCGTGACAAATTCAGGTGCTTTGAAGTATTTTTTTCACGGGTATGCATTGAAAACAAGCATGTACAGCAGAATTTATTGGGACTCCAATAAATTCCGTACGCACACGAGGAGGTAGACTGCTCGGATCCCATGGAGAGCGCATTGCCCACTTACTTGAGAGGTGTCGGTGATGTAGAATGCGGGAAGTGTTCATGTGTGCTGCATGTGTTGATGGGGAATGTGTAGTGATGTGATCAAGCCTGCGGTGACTTACTGCAGCTTTTCAAGGATGCGACAGTGAACAAATAGGTCCATGCGATGGCAGCGCTTGCAGTTGAGGCGAAGGCGTCTGGTGTATGTTAGCGCTCCAAACACTGGTTATTCAATCCTTGTACAATGAATTTGCAGGTGAATGGCGGGGCGGACGAGTAAGGCGAATGTGCGATCGAAATGAGGACAAGTTGGAACCTCTCGAGGTTAAGGTGATGGTGGTGGTGGTGGTGATGATGGTGGTGGTGGTGGTGGTGGTGGTTGGCGATCCGTTGGGAACGTTTTGATCGAAGTGGGAGCTGCGTTGATCGTCGTCGTTGTCATCGTCACGGAGGCTGTGGTAGGCATGATGGAGATAACGGTGATCGACTGCTGCCGGGCATCGGTGGCGAGGATGAGCGCCGTCATTGAGGTCGTGGGGGGTTGGAGCAGGGACAGTCAAGGATGCGTCACCTGGAATTGTCGGACTGTTTGGCGCACTGGTTGTGGAGTTGTCTAATGAGGTCTATCCGCGCGTATAATGCTCGTGACAGTGTCAGCATCTCGGGAAGGTTTGGATGCTGGCGTTGCGGATCAGGAGCGCCTGAGACCAGCAAGCATCCCTTTCAGATTTGTCAGTGGGGATCCGGTTGGCTTCAGAGATAGCTGCTCTAGTCTTCACGGCTCCTCTCCAAGCCAGTTGGTTCCGCGTGAGGTCTCCCCAAGTCTTCGGCTTGATTTTTAATCGCTTCAATGAATTCTTTAAGGTGTCCTTGTAGCGGGAGGCCTGACATCGTCGACGAGTGCCGGTGGTGATATCTCCATGGAAGAATTGTTCATCGGTCATCCTGATGAGGTGACAGCACCATCGCAGTTGCATTTGCCTCAGCGTGGCTCGGATGGCGAGGATTCCAAAACTTCCGTGTCCGGGATACTGTTCTACTGGTTCAGCTCTAGGAGTCCCCGAGAACAGCTGAGATGAAAGTGGTTGATCTTCTGCGCTTGCTCCTCGTAGAATGTCCCGGTATCTGCACCACACAGCAGCGTCGTCAAGGTGACAGCTTTGTACGTCTTCAGGTTGGTCTTAGGGGGAGACCGTGACAATTCCATACGGAGTTCTACCGCGTTGATAGTCAGTCCGAGATGGCCGCAGCCTGAGGCGAAGAGGTTCATGTTTCGTTGCATGTCTGCCTCTGTTACGGTGTTGAGTGCTCAGTCGTCCGCGAACAGCAAGTAGCAGACAGTAATCGTTGAGAGAGGAGTTGAGGCCTGCATTCGCCGGCTTTTGAGAAGATCGTTGTGGGTCCTGTAGACGATGTGGATTCCAGACCAATCATAATGGTGGGTGTTTACTGGCATGGCAGAAACACTAGTTTGATGAGGGTGGCGGGAGTACGCAGACCTGCCCCACTCCACTAGTCATTGAGGACGCTTTTGAGGCGATCCCGTTGGCCGCGACGCATGACAGCATTCCGTCCTCGAGCAGACGTCCCATGCGCGTGAATCACTCAGCACAGCCGAATTTCTGGATGATTTCCCAGAGTCCAGCGCGATTCACCTCGTCACTGGGCTTCGTTAGATTCACGAAGATGGTGTTCAGGAGGTCCACACTTCCTGTCATTCTTCTTGCAGCTGGCGGGCAGTGAAGATCATGTCGGTAGTTCCGCGGTGACGTCGGAATCCACAATGATTTGCCGTTGAGATGGTTGACGAAGATGTGAGCTAAGTCACCAAGAACAACCAGCTTGTCCGCCTACGCAACAGCCGCCAGAAAGGCGTGCATGTCTTCGTAGAATTTGTTCTTTGCTTCGTCAGGACCGGTCATTTTGGGTGGGGGGACATAGACTCTTAGGATGGTGGAGAATTTGGCTCCCCGAAGAGGCAGGCGCAGGACCATCGGTCAGTCGTTTATGCCCTGCGGCAGGCGGGACAGTCGTTAAACCTTGTCTTTCCGGATGGCAAAGGCGACGTCTGCGTCGCGTCGGACTATCTTTGGGCGGCTGCCCCCTAACTGGCCTTTTTCGCTGAAGCAAGTCTTGCCATGCGCAACGATGTCCACCTCACCTGCGCGCCAGTTCTCGAGCGACTATCGCCATCCTTCGTTCCGGCCGGTTGCTCCTCTGATTGTCTAAAAGCGGACGAATATTCCAGGCTGCCAGAGTGAGTGGACTGGGGGTGGGGCGAGGTGATGCAGACGTAGGTTGTTGCTCATTATAGATTTTCGACCGCGAGTTTTGTATCTACTACGGGATTGCATGTCGCCATCTCCAAAAAGGTCTTTTGAAAGGAAGGGGAAAGCAGGAGGATGGGATGGAAACAGACTTAGCGAGGTGTGACCGCCAGGAGAAGTCTAGCTCTGGAGATCCAAAGATGAGCTTTGGGTAGCAGTTAAGGACCGTGAGAAGCAGTTGCCATTTGCAAGTTGCGATCTAACACTCATGCACTTGACACCCCTTCGTCCCACGCCCACAAACTCACACACCCAACACACAAGACAGTTCAACCGCGCCATGACCGACAACGTTCACCATGTGCTCCACAACGGGGTGACAGCATGGACAGTGACTTGCGCATGAGTTAGTTTAAAATCATGGTAGACTTGCGTCGCACTTCTCTTACTCTCACCTCCTCCCCTGCCTAGGTCCGGTGTAAAGACAGAATCAAGAAGATGGGGGCGGGAGAGGGGGAGGGCGCATGCGGATGACCCAACAAAAACCCTCAACTAGGCGTGCTAGCACACTCCCTAGCCCTGGAATACAAACTGGAACCAGCGAGACGGGGTGTCCCCCTTGCATTTCCGTCACATCCCGCCCACCCTCTACCCCTCCCATATATAGAATAGAATAGGTTCCTTGTAGCGCCCCTTGGGCACTGTCAGTCCCCTTTGAACTCAGGAAAAAAACCTAAAACAAACTCGTCAATTTCAACTGCACTTTGACTTCATTTGCTTCAGGTTTCTGGTTAGCCAAAAGAGCGCGAATTGAGAGTTTGTTTTAAGTGAAAAAAACCTCAGTTCTAAGGGAAAATGATAACAAAATTTTCAAAAAACAACGATATTTACAATATAAAAATTGAAGTTTGCAGTTTGGTAGTTTTCAGGGACATGAATAATACGTCCTTCATGGCAATTGAAGAACTTTGATATCGGCCTGACCTTGAAATTATTTTTCTGTTGGGTAAATTTCGGTGTGCCCTGGTTGTCAGTCTATCTGGCCAGCTGTAAGGGGGCTATCGCACAGTTCCTACGTATTTTTCAGGAGGCTTACTATCGTTGTCTGGACTAAGAGCTGGAAAAGATGAATATATATCAGGAGTAAGAAGCATTCCATGGTAAGTCACAATCAAAACTGTCAAAATACTATTGAATCATGTATCATATTGTTCTTGTTAATGTGAAATTATAGGCGTAGTGGTCGACTGTTTACTATGAGCTAATATAGTTCTATATATGTTTAATATGGCCTTAATATAGACATACGCACGACTAATATGCAGGGTTTTATCGAAGGATATATTTTTATTAGCTTTATAAGGGATATTTAGGGTCAGGTGACATAGCTGATGAAAACGAGAGAGGAAGGAAAAAAGAATATCATTATCTGTTCTATGTTTATCAATGGTGTTATATTTTATAAATTTGATTATTTTTTGTGCTAAGTTCCGGTATTTTTCAATCGGCTGGCATCATCAGAGTCCTTTTGGACCAAATTCTATATCAAAGAATTGACTTGAAAAATGTCCTATCTTATTTAAAAATAAATGTGTATTGTTATTTGAAAGGAATTCCTTAGTTGTTATTTTAAACTGGATTAGGGTTCGACTTTTCCTGATATAACCTGGAAGAGTATTCCAGATAGTCGCATATCTAATGGAGTAGAAATTTGACCGTCGGGACTTTGTGAATTTGGGAATCCTTATAATATCCTCGCTATTTCTGGTGTTTCTAGGGACGTTTTGGTTGGTAAGTAAATTCATTTTGAGAATATCTTGGTGGTGGGTGACCTTGAATAGGAAGTTTAGACCATTTCGAAGTCTTCTGTCCCCACCCGCACCCTCCCCCTTGCTTGGGGTGAATGATTTTCTGTTCCAGACACAGCGATTTCGCCCACACCCACAAACTTCCTCTTTACCCTTACTAACGCTTTCGACCCACCCGTAAACTAAATTTCATACACGAAGACGACATTTTAAGCCTGCTCTCCCACCTCCCCTCCTCCTCGCGTTTAACCCACTGCCACTCTGAACTAATTGTTCGTCACATGACACATGCCACCAGATTTCCCTATCCGAAAGGCCTCTGACGAGGGTGAGAGGGCGTTTTTGAGGTTGGCGTTCGAGGACGAGGCCTAAAGGCGACAGAGGAATAACGAAGATTCCGGCACAAAATTAATTTGGAGCTTTAAGGGTAGAATCTGCCTAAATGGCTCCTAGCAGGGTGGTTTGAAGAATGGTGCGTAAGGGAGATTTTGGCTGCACACAAGACCGGCTCCAGTCGTCCCAGAGTCACTTTGGACCTTTTCTTAGACAGTTTGGGAAAGGAAGGTCTATGGGCAGTCAAGCCACCCGGCTCCAACATAATAATAGCAGCGGTGGTATCATGTTTTCTGCCCAGGGGTCCACAGGGTCTCGGCAGGCTGTCTGACTCTGATTTTGTTCAACTACTAGGGGCGAAAAAGATGTGAATCCTGACAGATGCCCTGAGATTATTTCGAGAAGTCTGAATGATTATTCAAAATCATTTATGAGTCGGTAAAGTACAGGTAAATTGTCTCTTACAAGGCCAGTGACGAGCATACTTTTTATTCGTCATGAGAACTTAGACTTCTGCAGGCTCTCAGTAGGAAAACTAGCGTGCGCCTTGTCTGGAGGGTTTCGTCGGGAAGCCAATAGGTTCCACGTGGAAGTTGGCCTAAACGTTTCATCCAAACAGCCAGTCCAAAAATAGTGTAAAGCGTAGGCCTTCGCATGCTATCAGACAGTAGGCCGAAAATCCCGTTCAATGGCCTTCAGCTGAGATATTACTTAAGTAAGTCTATCATATGCAAATTAACCGAAATTTTTAACTTTCAAGGAAGAGAAAAGCGCATCATATTCTTTCGAAAAGTCGGGTTTGAAAAGCTTTATAGAGCTAACTACCATTCCTGTGAATAGCTCACCGTTTTTTTTCTAAGATTAATAAATACGAGTGAGCCTGTTGTTTTTCAGATCTCCCGCTGTCCGCCCAATACTTCTTGAAGCAAGTGGTTTTATCCTTCGTTTGGTCCGCTTTTTAACCCCGAAGACCATATTTTCCTTTCAGTGGGATATAACTGTCTCTGTAAAATGACTAAATGTATAATTTATGCAAGATGTATCGACAGTTCACCTAGGCTAAAGCGTTTGAAATTTGGAAAAAGGGCACGTGAGGCCTGTTTGAAAGATTTTCAGGC